CCTTCTCCTCCATTCTCCTCTCGGGATCTTGGGCACGCACGCACACGTGCCCGGCGTGAGTTTCAAGCCACCGGGTCCGGGTCGCGAACTGCAGTCGACTACGTGGGAGTCCAGCGACATAGCCATTACACTAACTGCTGGTTCCCAAAACTATTAAAATTTTTTAAAAGATATAAAAGATTGAATAAAAAAATCTAAGGAAGAAACAAGATATTATCAAATACATGATATAAATTGGAAAAAAAACTAAATAGAATTTCAGAAATGAAACATACTCATTACAATTGAAAGATCAATTGATAAGTAATCAGCATATTGTATGTCACTTAAGAAATAGTGATTTGAGAGGAAAGGCAAGGGCACAGGCCACAGAAGACCCCTTCATGGCTACAGAGAAGTAGTGATCTCAGTAGACTAGGAGAAATGGAGATTTTTCACTGATAATTGAGCCTCCAGCCCTCAAACTTGCATGGAAAGGCAAGGGCACAGGCCACAGAAGACCCCCTTCATGGCTACCGGGAACTAGGGATTTAAAAAAAAAAGAAGACTAGGAGAAATGAAGATTTTTCCACTGATAATTCAGCCTCCAGCCCTCAAACTCGCGTGGTAGGAAGAAGACTGCAGCCTCTTGTCTCTGTATCTGTCTTTGTCTCTCTCTACCTCTGTCTCTGTCTTCTCATTTTTTGTAATTTTTCCTTTTTAAAATTTTTTAAAGTTAAGCAGTTTCTGGGCTCTCAGGCCCTTCTTACCCTATATCTTGTTAATAATCCCTTCTTCCCTTCACCCCCAACCTAGGAAGGGCAAGGGCACAGGCCACAGAAGACCCCTTCCTTACCCTATATCTTGTTAATAATCCCTTCTTCCCTTCACCCCCAACCTAGGAAGGGCAAGGGCACAGGCCACAGAAGACCCCTTCATGGCTACTGAGAACTAGCGATTTTAGGAGACTAGGAGAAATGAAGATTTTCCACTGATAATTCAGCCTCCAGCGTTCAAATTCACGTGGTACGAAGAAGACTGCAGACTGCAAGTGCACCGCGTGGTTTTCTAATTTTTGCTTTTTTCTTTTTTAAGTAATTTTTTATATAGTTTTTCTTGTCTTTTCCTCTTTTTCTTGGTTGTTCTTGTTGCTGTTGTTTCTCTCTCTCTCTGTTTCCTTTTCTGCACGCTCTTGGATGCTCAGATTGAACTTCAACTTTGGGAAGAAACACACATCTCCATCAGATGACAAGAAATATGGGAAAGCAATAAAATACCTCTCCTCCAAGGAAAAAGAATGGCTCCTCTTCATCCACAGACAGTACAATGGAAATCATGGATATGTCTGATAAAGAATTTAGAGTATTCATAATGACAAAACTAAAAGAGAGAGAAGAGAGACAATGAACTGCAGAAGAGAATGGAGAAAGGAGCTGATGAGTGCCGGGAGGTGAGGAAATTCATGCAAAATCTGAAAGAGGTATTACACACTTTACAAAAGAATCAAATGGAACTGTTAGAGATAAAGACTATTATACTAAAAGTCAAAATATCTCTTGAAAGTATTAAAAGCAGACTAGATCATACAGAAACTAGAATCTCAGACGTCGAAGAAAAATTGCTGGCTTAGAAAAATCCATGATGAAGACTGAGAAAATTGCCCAAAAATTTGAGAATAATATATGAGAAATACTAGATACCATCAAACGTCCAAACATCCAGATAATTGGCATCCCAGAAGGTGAAGAGACTCATAAGGGCATTGATAATCTATTCCATAAAATCCTCAAGAAAACTTTCCAAACCTAGAGAGGCACTCAAAGATCCAATCCCAAGAAATACAAAGGACCCCTAATAGAATCAACCCAAGAAGATCTTCTCCAAGTCACATTATAGCCAGACTGACTAAA